TGGAGGGGTTGAAGGGAGGACAGGGGAATGGGGAAAAAGTAAGAACCAAGAGAGAGTATGGAAAGGTGCAAATTTCCAATGATGAGTGTCATTATATTGTATACCTAAAATGTACCAATAAAATAAAATTAAAAAGAAGATTTATTTGCAGGCATAAATGCATGTGATAACCAAAAAAATTGGAAACAGGCTAATGAGGTACATTTTCAAATCAAAAAAATTGGAAACAGACTAATGAGGTACATTTTCAATATATTTTCAAATATATAACAGGGCGTTAATGACAAAATTTGATGTATCTATGAAAAAGAATAGACAAGAATCCAAGTATAGTATATATTGAAAGTGGCATTTCAAAGTAAGGTAATTGTACTTTTTTACATATTGTACATTTTTACATATTATTGGCTGTTCATTTACAAAATTAAGTTAGGTCCCTTTACATGTTATAGCAAGCTCTTTTATTATTAATTCTGTTAAAATCCTAGGTCAATAAGGTCTTTCCAGATCTGGAACCAAAACTAGGTACTACAAAGTAAAAAGCTGACAGACTTGATTACAAAAACATTTATTAAACAAACGCCTATATACTACAAGAAATGTATTCTACAAATAGAGGCAAAAGACAAACTACAACCTGGAAGAGATATTTGTAGTCTATATAAGACAATGCTTAACAGTCAAAATATTAAGAGTTCTTCCAAAGCAATAATAATCTAGCAGAAAAGTGGCAAAGAGAATTGAGCAAAAGATTTTTAAAAAATGGAGATTAAGCACATGAAAGACCAATTTCACCAATGATTTAAAAAGTAATTAAAAAAAATCATTTTAGTTTCTCAGACTATCCCTCCATGAAAAAATAACAACAAAAACCCCCAGGAGAAATAAAATGATTAATATCTTTAGAGTACATTTTGACTGTATTTGACTTAAAAACTGCATATATTTACTGGAAATATTAATTTCTGTGAGTCAGTTCCACCAAATATCAGCACATAGTAATATTCATTTCAGTACTGTAGTAGGCTCAAATTAGGAAAATCCTACATGCCCATCATTCAGAAAATAGTTGAATTCATTATAATACAGTTATGTACTGCAAAACTCTTCAACAGTTGTGGTAAAGCTATAAGTTTGTCCAGGTGACAAATTCCCATATATTCTAAGTTGTAAAAGCAAACCGCATAACAATATGTAAAATAAGATCCAGTTTTCTTGTAGAAAAATACTGGCCAGAAATCAACCCAGAAAATATAATCTCCTCTAGGGAAGGGAACATTTCCTGTTTATCTTTATTTCCTCTACCACTTACAACAGTGACTAGTACCTGGCAGGCCCTCAAAAAATATTTGTGGAATAAATACCTTTGTGCATGAATAAATGAATATGTGCCATTGATCATTTAGATTTTTGAGATTCCAATTTTTTTTTTTTTTTTTTTTAAGACAAAGTCTTGCTGTGTAATTCAGACAGCCCTTGAACTCACTACAGAGCCCAGGCTGGCCTTGAACTCTCAATAATCCTCCAGCCTCTGCCTCCCACATGGTGGCATCACAGGTATGCACCACCACGCTCAGCATTGACTCGAAGTAGGTAAGGACTACTTTCCCAAAGAAGGAAGAGATAGTAAGAATACACTAGCAATCAAAGAAAGTTAAGTTAGGGTCCGGAAGTATAGCTCAGGGGTAGAGAACTTGCTTAGCATTCATGATGCCTTGGGTTCCATCCCCAGCACTGCAAAATGAAAAGGGGTGGGGGGAACACTCAATATTTAGTACTATTTTGCAGTTTCAAATACCATTTCAATTTAAAACCTTATCAAGCTCTATACTCATTTCTGCCAATATTGGAAATACTTATAAACAATCATGCAATTGTTTATTCCTTTTGATCCAATATTCTCACTTTTAGGAATTTATCCTAAAAAAAATTGCTTCAGGTCAAGCGTGGTGGCACACTGCTGTAATCTCAGCACTCAAGAGCCAGAGGCAGGAGGATTACTGCAAGTTCGAGGCCAGCCTAGGCTACATAGTGATTTCAAGATCAGCCTGAACTACATGGCAAGACTCTCTCAAATAAACATCCATGTGCACAAAAATATTCACTTTAAGGTTTTGGCACATAAGACATGTATAAGACCAAAATGTGTCCACTCTTAGGGATAAGCCTTACTAAATTTAATTGAAGCATTGTAATTATGAAGGCTATTGAGAGTCCTAAAAAGTATTTATCAGTTAATGTCAAGTTATCTCTTGTTGCTACTTTATGACATATTCAATTCTTTTTGTAACAAATTAAGATTTAAGTAACTACCCAAACAAAAAATTCACTATGAAGTTAAAGTAGCCCAACAGGAAGTAGGTATTCTATCAGTACATTATCGAAATGCACATTTGTAATGTGCACACATTTAGTTTAACAAATATGATTGCCAAGAAGGGTGTGCATCATGCACTCTGCTGGGCCAGGCAGGTACTGGATTGTAGCAGGAGACCTTGGCTATTTGCTCAAATCCACACCCTCTTTCTCTCAGGAAAAGAGGGGATTTGTCTACAGTTAGGTGGCTGCATGATTGATTCCCCCCGTGGAACGTGCCCCTTCCAAGCCTGGCCCACACTGCCTTCCCATCCTTCTGTTCTCTCTCTCCCTGCAACTGGCTGTGATGTACACAACTCGGGGGCAAGTTGAGGCCAGCAGAGCCTCTATCAGCCTCGATCCCTTCTCTTGGACACAGAGGAGAGCTACTGATTAATATGGGCAAGAAACAGACTTCCACCATGGTGAGACCTCGTTTGTCTGGGCTTATTCAGTATTGCAACCTTGCCTTTCCCAACTGTGCATGGAATCAGAGGTACTTTTTAAAATACTTTAAATGTTTTGTTTGACATTGTCTTAGTTACTCTTCTCGTTGCTGAGACAAAATACCCAATACCCACAAATTAAGGGAGGAAAGTTTTATTTGGCTCACAATTGGTAGAGGTTTCAGTCCATAATTAGCTGGCTCCAACAGAAGGTGGCCTGGCAGAGGGGCATCGCAGCAGAGAGACAGTTCATAGTGGGCAGAAAGCAGCAAGGCAACAAGCAGTGAAGTGGTAAAGCAGCAAGCAGCAATAGCAGCCCTCCTTGTGCCCCTTATTCTATCCAGCTGTACACCCAGGATGGCATACCCTTAATCTTAGCATCCCAAAATAAATCAGTCTCAGCATCACACACTCTAGATCCAGCCACCTCTGAAAAGCCCCACCTATAACCGCATGAGGCTTTGGGGAACATCTAGACACAAGCCATAACAGACGTTACTGTATATTATTAATTACACTCAGAAAGCCCTAAGTCAACATAACATCAAGCTACCTTTGGTTTGTACTTATTTGTTAAAATACCTACAACTTGCCAAAGTACAGTGGAAAAGTAGACCATCTTTTTTTTCTAGTTATTGGTAAAGGTACAAAAATCTAGTTAGTTTTATTCTTTATAAATTTGAAATTTCTTTCTGGGCATGGTGGTACACACCTATTCTAGCACTTGGGAGGCTGAAGCAAGAGGATCACAGTGAGTTTGAGGCTGCTCTGTACTACACAATGAGTTCAAAACCAGCCTGAACTAAACAGTAAGACCCTGTCTCAAAAAACAAAACGAAATGTTTTAATCTCTTGAGGTTCTTAAAATGCTTAATTCCAAATTATACTTTTGAAATTCCATATATCATATTTCAGCCAGAAACAGATTATTTTTCCATCTTTGTAAAAACTTCTAAAAGAAGAAAGTTTTCTCACAAATTAGAATGCCATAGCAGTGAGAACTACAAAACATGTCTCTCAAACATGTCTCTCTCTCTCTCTCTCTCTCTCTCTCTCCTTCTTTCTTTCTCAGTGCTAGGGGTCAAACCCATGGCCTTTTACACACTAGGCATATGCTCTACC